AAAAATATATATATATATATTTTTTTTTTTGTAATAATTATTTTTTAAATGAAAAGGCAGCTCGCCTCTGGGCAAAAATGAAATAAATGACTTGCGCTGCTGCGGGTTTTAGGGAGGAAAGAGCCGGTTTGGAGGAGGTATAAGGGGGGTGGTTCGAGTCATTCGATGCCTGGGAGTAAGTCGGTGGTAGCAGGCGCGCACCTCCACCTCTCAGCCGCGGAGAAACCGCGCCGCTCCGCGCTCCCCCACCCCGGGGGCTGGAGGATATCACGGTATGAATTTATTCTGGCTTCACTAAGGTGGATGGAGGGGCTTAAAATACCACTAATTAAAAATAACCTGGGACCAGCAACGTGACTTTGGGAGCTCTCGGGGCTTCCCCGTGTCACCCTTCGCCACCCCTCAAAAAAATTATCTATCTGAGCTTCAAAAAGAACCGCAGAGGCTGAAATATTTGTCTAAAGGCGGGTTATTTTGAGGTAAATAAAGATATTTTCGCTCGTCCTGAAGATCCCCCGAGCAGCTTTTCCGCCAAGTGTTATTTTCCGTGAGCTGGGGGGGTTTGTATGAAATAGATTTGCCTTTATGAGCTGTGTGGGCACCTATAGGTAAATTCGGAGGTAATTGTAACCCCATATACACTCTCCTTACTCTACACACTCGTGTAGCTACGCACACATACACTTGGCGAAGGCAAACGTATTTCACACGTACATAAATAAACACAGCAAATACTCGGGCTTTGAATTTGGTCATGAGAAAATCCTGGCACCAGCAGCCGGCCAATATTTCGACCTAAACTGTATGGGGAAAAACAAAAAAAAAAAAAAAAAAGCCCGCGGATCCTGCGATTGTAGCAACATCCTCAGCGTCGCATTGGGGGAATTCAAAGAAAAAAAACTCGATTTAGCCAAAGGCACCTTCAAAATTTGCTGGTGTGTCATGGACCCACTTGGGCGTTTGCAGAAAACCTTTAATGCTCCCAAGCCCTGGAAATCCCCTTGGAAATTCTATCACTCCCCTCTCCGAATGCTTAAATGACACGAGAAATGTCTCTTACCTTCCGCACGAATGTAAAATTCGGGTTCAACATAAACGAAAACTGAAGCTATGAAAGATTTGAAAAGGAAGCGACAGAAACAGGAGCGAACAAAATCCGCCCCAAATTGGATCTGACCATTTGAAAACACCGCGAACAACACGAAATGCCTTTTAAAACGCAAAAAAAAAAAAGGAAATCACGTCTTTCTCCACGCACCCATTTTAAATTTCACATCTGAAGCGAAAGAAAACCTTTATCTGTATTTATTTCCTTCTTTATTTCCACCTCAATCACAAATCCAACCCAATATCATCTTTCTTGCGGGTTAACTCCCACCAAAACCTCTCTTGGCGTGGACGTCGAAGGCGCTTTGTGCAGATAAGTTTGCAGCGGTTTTGATAACCTTGACTTTGCCTTTTTTTTTTTTTTTTTGTATGTGTGTGTAATTGTAACTCAACTGTCAGATAAGATCGTTTCCCTTTGGATGAGGAATGGTAAAAAAAAAAAAAAAAAAAGAGAAAGAAAAAAAAAAGAAAAAGAAAGGGAAAAGAGGAAAAAAGGATAAAAGGAAAAAGGAAAATGAAGAAAAGAAAGAAGAGAAGAAAAAAGGAGAAAGGAAAAATGAAAATATAAGAAAAATCATAATAAAAAAAAAAGAAAAATACTAATAAAAACATGTGTTTCTGGGTTCTGCTTTTAGAAAGGCCAATTTCGGAGGAGGCAACGCCAGAGGATAGGTTTTGCTGGTGCCCCAGACCCGAGGCGTGTGTGCGTGGGGGTCCACACACGACCCACACGCGTGCAGCCCCGCATGCACATACAACGCCACATACTCCGGCCATCCTGCTGCTGCTGGAGCCCTAATTATAGCCCAGATCTTGACACACGGCGGATATTTTAATCCCCATCCCACCAGCAAACCCTGCGACCCGTTGCTTAGACCTGAGCAGTATTTTCTACCAACTTTTCAGAGGAAATTCAATCCAGCCCTTCGCATGATCCCCACTTTATTGACCTGCAAGAAGCCTCTGAATCCACCCAGCTCCAAACCAGGACAGGAACAATCCCGAATATTCACATACACACGGATTCCAAACCATATGCAATCCCTATAGCGAAAATAAAATGTGTTCAATGAAAGCTTCTTTTCAGACAATCCCAAACTTAAAACATCTGCTCAACACACAGAAACAGTTTTGGTTTAGATTTTTTTTTTTTTCCTCTCTCTTTGCCTTCGCAAACAAGACCTCAATTCGCCAGGAAAAAAAAAAAAAAAAAAAAGCAGCTTTTTCCTCTCTGAGTCTCCCAACGAGCTTCCAAGCCATGAAATGAGCCACAGTGCACAACTCCAGCCTGAGATGTTTGGAACTGCAAATTAGACACTACGCAGTTTCATTTTTTCACCCCACTTCAACACCGAGTGAAGCCAAAGAAGACAAATTCGCTGAGCACACGGAAATAAAGCAATTGCACAGAAAGCGATATGAAAGGGGGAAAAAAACCCCAATCCCCAAACAAACCAGGGCTCATCTACCTTAAAAAAAAAACAACAAACACAAAACGCCCCTAAAACACCCCCCAAGCAAACAAACCAACCCCAAGTCTCTGCGATTTCAGAGCAAAGCCACCTCATCTTATCACATTCCGCAGCGTCGGTTGTGAGGACCAAATATATATATATAATTTTTTTTTTTTTTTGCACAAGTACATGCACAGCAAATTTTCTCCATATAAACTGCGAGAGGACGAGTTCGCAAATAGCTCCCTGCTCCTTTTTCTCACCTCTAATACATACGTATATTAAAAAAAAACCCCACAACATTTCTAGGAATAACATATTTTTCTCCCAAAAGACAGCAACAACACAGGACATTATTGTGCCAATTTCTGGAGAAGTTGGCAGAGTAGAGAGCGCGTTACTGCATATTCGCATTACTCTCGCTCTTATTAGCTATGGATGGTTACTAATTGCTGAAAATAACTACTGGTAATGAATGATTCCCTTACCTTTCGCTTCATTGTCAGAATTGTCAGTGCTGGTGTCAGTGTTTTTATTCAGCTCTTTCTCTGCTTCCGAAGGACTTATTTTGGGTGCTGGGGCGCTTTTTTCTGTTTTAATTTCGTTGGTGGATGTGTTCTGAGTATTATCTGTTTTTGTGTTTTCGGGGAAACTCACTTTAGCCCCCGGGGGCGGCGGAGGAGGTGGAGGAGGTGGAGGTGCTGGTTCCAGATGCTCATTCCTTGGGTTCAGGCTCGCCCTGGATTCAAAACTTGCCTCAAACTCATTTGGATCGCTGCAGTTTGACGTCTTCTCCATGGAGGGGTAACCTTGGCTTGTTCGGTAGTAGCTAGGAACGGGGACTTCATGGTCATTTAGGCAAGACTCAGGCATTTGGTTGGGGTAGAGGGCTGTCTCTGTGGCATTTTTTGCCCTTTTATCAGCGTTATACATACAGCAAACATTCTCTTCCTTGACATTGGTTGGGAAGGAGCAGGATGGGAGCTGTCTTGCAACAGGTTGCTCGATCCTGTACGTATTTTTGGGGTCACACCAAGTGTCTAGCTGCGAAAGGTAAGATGGATAGGTGCTGAGAGACAAGGTTGCGCTATTCACCTCGTCCCTTTTGGAAAGAGAAGGGATAATTCCACAGTTCCTCATGACTCCGCAGCTGAAATCGCTCCCAGGCTGCATGTACATCCCTTGGCTGGAGGAATAATTCTCCCCTCTACAGGTACCGGCCAACGAGTCCATCAAAAACGAGTTAGAAGTCACATTGTTGGGACATGACATTTTCAGAGAGGGTTTTTAAGGAGGAATACTCCAGCCAGGGGCTGACATCTTTTTTTTAGGGGGAAAAAATATCAAGCACCATAATTATCCACGCATCGCTCTCCCCCCCTCCACCCCCCCACGTGATGCCC